ATTCACATTGCTGGCATGAATTGTATCCACCAAGTCCTAGCCAAGTCCCAAATGATATATCAATTAATGAGACATCATAACTAAATAATCCAGGAGTTGCTTGGCTGGGGTTCTGAATTTGCAGCATAAGCCTTCCATAATTTCGCTGTGGCACTCAGGTCAGCTCAGAGGATGGGGAATGAGGGCTTTGGTAAAAAAGACAGAAATTTAAAAAAGGGAGGGACAGGGAGAGAAAGAAAGGTAGGTATATATGAGGAAAAAACAGAAGGAGAGAGGATGATAGTGTGGTTATGTCATGATTTTAACTGGTTAGAAGGGCTAGAGCTGCTTCAACGCCACAAGAGAATAGTTGATGACTTGAAGGGAAAAGGGTGTCACATACAGTCTATACACACTGCACACATACACTGCAGTGTTCCTTGTAGGGTGATCCAGAGTTCACTAGTGCTGCAAGGACTTTAATTAAACACTAATCACTTTGGAGGAGGTTAATAATAACAAACACATCCCCCTGTTCAGACAAAAGTGTCACATCATGTTGACCTCTACAGGTAAATGAGGAAACAGAGTTGCTTTAAATGAATCATGACTAGGGCCTTGTGCTGGAACCGATACAAAAGGAGGTGGCCCAACTGATGCAGGGCCATCCAAAAGCCACAAGGTTTGTTTAACCATTTTATTTTCAAGGGCTGTACATGATGTGAAAAGTTCAGCAGACGTAGGCCGACCTGCCAGAGCAGCGTCATATGGCCAAGCTCAGATGAAGGACAACCATAGCGGAAAATATGCAGAGGGAGAGTTCAGGATGGGACAGCCCAGGCGCCAAAGTCATGCTAATTAGTACTGCTCATTACTTTACTCGATACTTATCTAAAAGAAGCTTCACTTCTTGTGTTGCAAAGTGGATTATGATTACTTTTCTGCTTACAACAATAAAACAATTTAAAAGGCTGCACTGATAATATTTTAAAGAGATAGGATAATGTATCACAAGAATAATAGAATGTGTCTACATATTGGCACAAAACAGCAATTTGAGTAATATAAAATGTCACAAACATGCACTAACAGTGAGTATTATGAAACACCACAGTGGTTTTATAGTCGCCTCGCAGGAATCAGATGACAGTTTAATTTCACCATTACCCGGTTCACTGGAAAAGATCCCAATCAGTGACTGTTCTAATCATGGGTTTCAGTTTACAATAATTTCTTTCTGTCAAGACCACTTCAACTCAAGAGTGAAGATTTTTCCACATGAGGTTTTTCTTGGGTGAAGAAGAAAACGAGATGGGGTCAGTGGGCTCTAATGTGTCTATCTGAGAAGAACAGGTCAGAAACGTCATGTTCTGTCAGGTACTGCATAGCAAAATCTACCATAAAAAACATTTTAACACTTGACAAATGTATTAGCAAAGCACTGTGTGTAGCTAAGCTCAGATCAAAGTAAAACTCTCAGCTCTGAACGTCAGTCTGCCAGAACAATCAGAACAAAGGATTCTCTCTAGAGCCGCCAATTACCTAAAATAATGCCAAAAAAAAAATAAAAAATCTATCAAAGTAGAAAATCAGAGGCCAGTTTCTGCACTAAATCTATGTTTATATCTACAAAAGACAATGTGCGTTTACACACCTTGTTGTTTCTGCATATTAGTGAAATCTTCAAATGTGAGGGTCCGCACAGGAGGTCTCCAGAAAGCATAAGTCTCCATGATGGCCTCCAGGCCGGTCCTGACACAGAGACATAAAGAAGGAGATATTTCAGATCTAAACAAACAAACAAACACACAGAGAGAGAGAGTTTGCAGGACAGTGAGATGGGGAGGGATGACTTTAGTATTATTAGTCTTAGAGAGCATTCTGATTGATTTTTTTCTTTAGCCTTACAGGCACCCAGTGATATCTATGATCTGGTAACTCCCAGTGAGCCTGATCTCTGGTTGGTCCCTTCTGACAAAGAGAGCACTACTACTACTGCACCGTATATAGCCATTCAGAGACCTTGCCTTTTCATCAAGGTTAAATAGACACTCAACTGTCCAGTCCCTACAGCTGCCTCCCTTTTATTACACTTTGTGTCTTATGCTTCAGTTTTTATGCCTCTGCACCGGCTGCGGCAGAAGGCATTATGTTTATGGGTTATCTGTCTGTATACTCATATGTCTGTACATCCATACATACATACAGTATGTTCATACATGTCTGTCCGTAGAGCTCATTCTTATGAATGCGGTATCTCAGAAACGCCTTGAAAGAATTTCTTTACATTTGGCACAAATTTCCACTTGGATTCAAAGATGAACTGATTATATTCAGTTCATCAGTCAGTGACCTCACTTGTTTGTCAGAGGCATACAACCACAAAGTGAGAATTCTAGTGTCAGTTATACTTGTTTTACTATAATATACCTGCAATAGCTGCAGAGAAGTAAACCTAAACACACTAATGCAATCCAATACAACTTTTATTTCATAAAGTTTGCTTTTATGGTGCACTGCGAAAGAGATGTTAATTATATTATATGTTTTAGCACTGAGGTCATATTTAGTGTTTTGTCCAATACAACACCACCACTTTTAACTATGTCATTAGTACTAATCTAATATTTAAATACACATATTTCCAACAATGTCAACTAAAACTTGAACATTATAAACTTTGTAAAATGTCAAATTTATGGCAGAGCTTTCATAATGAATTGCAATAAATTGCACAGGTGTACCTGTTAAAGTTGTCATTGAGCGTGGCTTAAAAAGAAGAAGTGCTATGAAAATAAAAGCTACTTTTACATTAATAGTCATAAAATATATGCAGGTATATTAATGGCATTATGGGAAGCACATGTGACTCGCCCCCTTTCACAATAAAATGAAATGCAGCGGTGAAAAGTAACTAAGTACATTTACTCAAGCACTGTACTGTGTTTAAGTACAATTGTGATGTATCTGAACTTTATTGAGTATTTTCATTTTCTGTTACTTCATACTTTGATTTCACTATATATTTTATAACTTGAGTTACTTTTAAGAACCAGATTAATACAAAAATACGGTATGGTTATAGGACTTTATTGATCCCTTGTGGGAAATTCACAAGCTACCCAGTAGTACTTCAAATTATAACCTTGAATGCCAGTTAAAACTAGCTGCCTTTTTACCAGCTGCAACATTAAATGTGATGTACAACATAATGCATGAGCAATTATAATCCAGTAATATGGTATACATTGATGTGAAATGTGCCATTCTACATAATGAGTAGTTTACATTTAGTACTTTAAGTATTTTTTTGATGCTAATACTTTTGTGCTTTTACTTAATTAACATTTTGAATCCAGGACTTTTACTTGTAAAAGAGTCATTTTATTGTATTGTATTGCTACTTTTACTTAAGTAAAGGATTTGAGAACTTCCTCTGCCAATGATCAAAAGGCAAATATTTGTGCGACTGCATTCACTTACTGTACAGAGATGCCAATCACAAATGTAGGGTTTGTTAACCAAACTAGCTGCACCCGACACTGACGCCAACATCCAACCACAACCAACAACACTAAGACTACATCCAAGTCAGTGATGATGTTAGTCAGAGGGGGTTATGGTGCCTTTATTTTCTACATAGTTTAATAGTTTTAAATGTTCTTGTATGCTTAGTTTTTCATAACAGTTTTTTTTCTTTATGTAGCTTTTATCTGCAGATATGCACATTGTATCACCTTTTTAAATGATATGTTTTTATTATTAATACTCATCCTCCTAAGCCAACAGAGGCTGTGCCAAAATTTATCATCAGCAAGGCCTATAAAAACTGTCTTTTGAATTGAACTGAAAACATGTAGGTGTTCACAATTTAAAACCACATCTGAGCCACTTGGAATAAAAATCAGTTTCCAGCTGTGAGTGAAATCTAATATAACAGAACCCTGAATTAGAAACTACAGAATCTACAATTACATTTTATGTTCCACATGCACCCTTATCTGAAGAGATTTACAGTATGTGGTCAATTTAACTCCTAAATCACCATAGTTATGCAACAGCAGCAGTATGAGGGTCAGAGGTCAGAGTTTTTTCTCACTGACAATATTCACGAATGATCAAAGATAAAACGTAGCTCTGGACACACAATGTCAGATTAACTCCAGAAGGGTTTTTCAGGAAGCTCAGTCCTCTGATTCTTCAAGGCTCAAACTTGAATCTGAACAAAGCAAATCCCAGCACGGCTGAAGGGAAGGCATCGTCAACTGTACGTGAGGATAAATTCATTTTCTTACTCCCCTGACAAATTTCTCATTCTCTGTTATCTTTTCATCTGTAGCTTTTCTGCAATGAAATTCTAATGCCAGCTCATAAATCAGACAGCCTATTGTTTGAAAAACGAAAAAATATGTCTCAAATATCTGTGTGCCAATAATGTGGACCAGATGAGGGGGGTGCTTTCATGTACAGAGGGGTCTGGTAATTCAGTTCACTCCTACCTCCCCTCTGCTCTCATCCTCAAATGTTATATATGGTAATGCAGAGATAGAGAGAGGAGACTGAGGTGGAAATCAAAATCAGAGGAAAGATGACACCTTTACTGGGAAAATCAAACATTTAATAACATAATTTGCTCACTCAAAAGCTGTGTGATGATGAGTAACATGATTCATGACTCTACAGTGCAAACAGCCAAGAGGAATGCTATCTCTGGCCACCACACCAGAAGTGACAACACAGCTGACACAGCAGCTGACAAAGAGCGAACAGATCTGACCAACCAGGTTGTGTGTGCGTGTGTGTGTGTGTGTGTGCTGTTTATGGTCACACGGTTGGAAACAGTGCAACACCTACTGTCTGCATGTTGTGTGGTGTGTTGTATGGCATGTGTGTGTACTAACCTGACTAGTCTACACTGTGTTGTAGTGTTAATAACCTGTGAGCATGTATTGCAGGTCAAAAGATGTCTAGACATCAGTTAGCAGCCCTGTCTTACAGCAGAAAACCTAGTAGCATCACAATAACAGCATTTGTTGTATTGCAGGACTTTGTTCTTTTTTCTGTTCTTCTTGGTGTTTTATGGTGATTGTCAAACAAGGAAATGGTACCGCCAACTGGGCTGGAGTGTAATATGTAGTGTCTGATGATGACGTACAGTTTTGAAATTTATAATGTTAAAAATTTGGGAAGGTGGTGGCTGGAGCAGATGGATGGGTCAAATGAACACCTGACTTTCATGGAGAGAACCGGAGATCATGTCCGTGTCCGATGTTTGAGAGTGTTTTAACTGAACCCAGGCCCTTTTCCTAATCTTAACCATGTCATTTCTGTTCCTAAACTTAACCATGTGGGGCATTTGCTTTCCGTTTCACTGGCAAATAGACGTTGCCATGTCAGTCTTTGAGGTGCAATTGTGATACATTTTGCTGTGAGACTGGGATGATGTTAAAATGGACTATTGTTCCAGCATTTTATGACTACAATACATTTCAGTCTGAAGCAGCTCCTCACTATGTGCTGAAATAATTTTTTATGGTTTTATGTCACTAGATATATAAACAAATCTTTGAACATGCATGAACATGACATGGCATAATAATGAGCAATACATATGTCTAGTGTTGTGGTTGTAAAACACCAATCAGGAGGTGAAATCTGAAGTAAAGAGAGCGATGTACAAGGGATCCCATCGACCTGTGACTCTCTGTGTCTCTGTGCTAGCAACAGACAAAGCAGCTGTTCTCATATGGAGTAGCAAATGGTACCAAGTGCTATCTTCAGAGGATTATGTCCATATTAAAGGTCACACAGAAAAGAACTATGTGGAGGAGCATGGAGATCACTACAATGGGCTGTGTTGTGTGGCTGCTTGGTCACTAAAGACACGTGACCGAGATGTAATAATATACCTGTTTCTGCCCGAGTCCCGGAAACCTTTGGCGAAAGGGTTACGGTCAATCTTTAGTCTTGTAATCTGCAAATAAAAACATAAAAGGAGATTTTTTTTGTGATTACTGCCCTTTTCCAAAACACTTAAAGGATACAGTCAGTCTTTTTCTATATTACCACTATTTTCAGCACTCCCCATACAGACTAAAACCAACAATGATTTGTCTGTACTCATGGTTAATGTCTGTCAGTCACTGATTTGCTTATTGGTCTATGCCATAGACCTCTGCTGTTGTTCAAAAATTATTTAAAACATCAGTAAAACACACTGCTGCACTGGAAGCCATGTTTCTTCATTACAAAACACAAGACCATGATATCTGTTAAAAATACCCAGAGATCTTGTGCATGCACAGTTGACTCTTGCTTTCTTCAGATGCTATAAAATGTTATGGAAGATTATCAGGGTCTTGTGATTTGCAATGAAGAAATGTGTCGCTCAGTGCAGCAGTGTGTTTCAGTGATGTGTTTTTAATCTTTTTGAACAACAATGGAGGTCTGTGAACCATGTGATGTAAGCTGAACCAGTTTGGAGACTGACAGACATTAACTGTGAGTAGAAGCAATTCACTGTTGGTTTTAGTCTCTGTGTCTGCAGTGTTGAATTTACTAAAAATATAGAAAATGGTTGGCCTTTCCTTTTAAGTGTGCCAACATTTGTGCCAAATTATGATCATATTAAAAACTGCCAGTCTTCCTTTGTTTGGCTGAGAAAGCATTACTGGTTCCTACCATTCTACCATTCCATGTGGTACTGCCAATTAGTTTAATTACTGTCACCTCGAGATACACTGCTGAGAGGACAGTTTCTAAGGAGACAATGCCCTCCTTACTGTTGAGATTAGAACTCTGTATTTATTTGACTTTGACTTATAAAAGTGCTCCTGAATTTCAGTAATATTGGCAAACATTGTTCTTATTCATTTTGCAGTAATTTTTTTAAATTGCAAGATGACATACATCTTGTGAGGACTGAGTTTGCATTTGCTCTTGCGATTTTAAGAGCTGATTAATGCAGTTTTTCTGTGCTGATGTCAAATAAGAGCTGGGTACCTGCTGGTTCTGGTAGGCAGTGACGGTGGTGAAGACAGTCTCAGGGAAGCTGAAGGTCTTCACTCCATCCCCACTGGGCACCGGCTTGTTTGGAGACAGTTCACTGCTGAAGTCTTTCCTAATGATGTGAACACGAGGCTGATACTTATGCATGGAGTGGAGGATGATCTGAAAATACACAAGGAAAAAAGGTGAGGTGCAGCTAATACATAGTGACAGTGGTGATAGTTGACAAAAGATGAATTCAAATTGATCAAAAACAGACAAAACAAAAACATTCTAGTCCAGAAATTTGTGTCTTCATTTGTCTCATGCATTCAGTTTGGTGAATGAAGGCCCTCGCCAGTTATGTACCACAAATATGTATGTGCATGTGTGATGTGTGCCTCTAAACTTTGCACTTCAAGACATAAACTCTGTCTTTAATTGTTCTCCCTGCAAACACACAATGCACATGCACTTTCTTCATAGCTTCACTTAGCTCCACTGATTCTCTACCAGGGCTACATGACATTAAACGAACACTAAGTTCAAGCTGCGATGATGCTCGCAGCAGAGCCAAGGATTAGTTCACAGTGAAGCGGAGGCATCAGACAGTGTTGGCCTCAGCTTTGCCTTAGGGCCTTGGTCTGCTCTTGATTAATCTGAAAGTGAGAAAACCTCCCCAGAGCCAACTCTGCTACAGCAGAGGGGGTCATTTCAGATCTGGGCCATGGGCGGAAAGGCTGCTCTGAGTATCAGAAAATCTACATTTAACATTCCAGGCAAACACACAGGACATACACACACAGATTATGACAGCAGCACAGAAACACACAGATGCACTCTCTCATCTGCTATTAACAGCCTTTTTGTTTCTGTCTGTGCTGCTCAGTGTTCATGTCTGTGGTGTTGGTACAGGCTAGTAAGAGATCACCTGTCAATCTAACTGTGTGGGCGGAGCTGTGGTGTCTTTCATCGGGTGTTCCTTGGGTGCATTTTCCCCCAAAAAACAAATGTCCCCTGGTTGTTTGTCTGGGCATCACTTTTTACATCACTGAAGAAATTATTCAAAATTTTGTCTATTATCTTTGTGCTCCTGTTCTTTCAATTGCTATAACAGCATTTTGAAAATGGAAATTATAGAGTTAAGTAGCCTATCAGAAGTACAGGTTTCAATCTAATGACTTCAGATGAAGCTCTATCATCCCTTTATATCCTTTCCATCGTGATCATTTTATTGTGCAAGTGAAGGGATTCATAACTTCTAGGAGATACAGAATCTCATTGCCTATTCAGCTGTAAGTGCTCCAGCAAAACCTCATGTTTATTTACTACCAACCAAGAAGCATTAAAACTGAAAATAAAAAAGCCTCCATGAAGTTGACAGCGACTGGATCACAGTCATGTTTTAGCAATAGAGATTTCAATAGACACAAGACACACACACTTTGTGTCCCCAGCCGACCTGAGGTTACATAAAGCCAGAGCAGATCACACATCGACACTGTGGACTCTCAGAGAGCAGCCAGAGGACATCAGTTGTTCACGCTCAAATGCAATTAGACTAAATAAGTGATGTTTTCATTTCATGGCTGACAATGACATTCTTGTAATCCCCTTTGAAAATCACACCATGTCATGTGTCTAATCACTCAAGTCTAATCATGTCAGACTGTGTTTGTAAAGCCCATTTTACACAGAACTGTGCAGACTAGATTCATTTTCAAACATACTGTAGCTTAAACACATAAATGACCATAAAAAATGTAGCAGAATCATATTTAAATGATCAGCTCAAGGTTTTACACAATGTTGCATGTTAAAGTACTGTACAACACAACAAAAGAATATAAAGTAACTAAAACTATCTCCACCTTGAACAACTGCTATACTAAAAGTCATCATTTATAATAATCCAGTAAGGTATTATAATATGAAATAAACAGTAAGAGGGGTCATTTTTCTCCACAATGAGTACTTCTACTGTTGATACTTGTTCTGTTGTTCTATCCTTAGTCAGAGTTGTAATGTTTTTAATCAGCAAATAAAATCAATCATCATCAGCAATGCATCATTTTATGTGAGGTGATAATGTGTTTTCTGTGTAAAGTAATTGGCAGAATAACTAGTAAATACACAATGTTTTCCAAGTACTGTATAATACAAGAACTGTAGCGGCCAGCAGCTATTGAACTGAAATGTTTTTTTTTTTTTTTGTACTTTGTTCGAGTTGATATACAGCTAGGCTCTCACTTATAATACAAGAAGAAGTTCTTATAACCCAGGAAGTAGTCAGATGGGAGAGTATCTTCAGTTCAGTTTCGCACATCTAGAGAGAAAGTCTGTAAATATTCATCAGCGGTGACAACTCCTAATTTCCTGCTCAGAAGGCGCATACGGTATGGTTTTGGGTTGTTGCACGTATTTGCTTTAATTCTCAGTAAACAATGAAAACGTAATTTTCATGCTGACGATGTTATGAATATGGTACCTGATTGTAACCAGACGATTGGAATGTAAGATATGGTTTACTTTGTATTTTTCAGTCTTTCACGGTGTTCACGGTGTTCACGGTGTTTACGAAGATTAAAAGAGCCAAAAACATCAGTTGGACCGTGAGTCATTCTGTTCCAGGAGAAGACATTAGGAGCTGTAAAAAGGACCTTGAAACTGTGGATTCTGTCTGGTCCAATTGTAGTCGTCAGTTAAACCTGCAAATCTCATCACAAAGTTACAGACTGGTGGAGGTAGTGTTGATCAGTCTGGACAACAGACTCTGCTTCTGCTGTGCACCGTGACGTCTGATGATTCATGACATGCATTCTGATGAGGCAGACATTTCACAACCCCACAAGTCAGGAGGATGGACGAGAAGTGGTGAGGCTTCCCACACAGGAAGCGCCCAAATTAATTTCCTTTGGCCTCTAAATCTCCTCCAGGGAAACAAAGCCCTTAAACTGAACAGCGGGAGAGGAAAGATGACCTCCCCCCACTCTGAGAAAGCACATGCACATGAATCCTCGCCCACCAACATCTATGTTATTACACTTGTCACCACTGACCTGATGTGATCATCTGCAGCGCTGTGCTAGCTCCACATAGCTCAGGACGCTAAACTGGACACTGCCATTTTGTCACTGTCACGGTGGTATCACTAAACCACTTTTCTAATCATTGCATCACCAAGCATCGCTATATCAGTGGCGATCTCTGAGGAGAAATTGATTTGTAGCAGCTGCTCATACTTTTTTTTAACAGTGCCTCAGGCTGTAACAATTACTGCAGCCTCCTCTAAAACAGTGAGACAGGAGTCATTGTACCATCTTCACATTCAGCTGGCACTCAGTGCTGACCTTGAGTCTAGTGTGCTTAAAACTGACACCCAGGTCAAGAGTCTTGGTGTCATCATTGATGGAGATTTAGATTTCAGTGTTCATATGAAAGCCAGTGATCAAAAGGTGGACTACTGCAATGCACTCCCGATCCATCCATTTATCCATTATCTATACCGCTTATTCCTGAATAGGGTTGGGGGGGCTTACTATTATCACTATTATTATAGAGGAAAACCCAACAAATCCCTCTTGAGCAGCACTTGGCGACAGTGGGGAGGAAAAACTCCCTTTAACCAAACAAACCTCCAACAGACCCCGGCTCTTGGTGGGCGGCCTTCTGCCTCGACCGGTTGGGGTGAGTGGATAGAGGAGAGACAAAAGAAGAAAAGCAACAAGACACAACAAACACAACAAAAAACAATCAAGCACAGGGCAGGTTGATTTGGCCAGAATGCAGTAAATCAAATAAATTGTGGTCTAACCTGCTGCATTACAGCCAAATATTTCACCTACAAAACCCACAATACACATTTAGTGCAGCCAAGAACCAGAAAGAGAGACTTACTTTACTGCTCCACCTTTGCTAAGAACTGGATACAAGCAAGGCAGTAAATCAGAGAGACTGTGGTCAGACTTAGATTTTAGCTCAGTGGTTGCTGGAGCGTACTACAAATCAAACTCAGTCATTAAGTGCCTTTAACAAAACAGTTTTATTACAAAATGCTGTACAGACCCACGAAGGAAATGAATATTATATATTAGGACAAGGCCACAAGTTCAAAACCCAGACCTGTAATGCCTCTCCACATGAATCCACAAGCCTAACAATATTCAGAGAGTGTGAGGGAGGGCAGTGAGCACCAGGGTAGACTGATTAGGTCTCCCAGCTTTGTGAGTCCATGACAAACTATGTCAACTTCAGGCAAACGCTTCAAAAACACTTCTATCCAAATCCTGACTCACAGCTCCAAGAATGCATTCACTTCTACAGTACATGAGGTTTAATGCACAAAAATGAAAGTAATAAATCTCAGTTCAAACATTTCAGCTCAAAGCACTGCAGCTAAAACGGCAACCATTCTGGTGAAACTGTCTTTGTCACAGGATCCCATGCAGAGTCAGTAATAGTGACATCTGATTGGTGTGTTGGTGCTGGCATTTTAACATGATGAAATAGCTGTGTTGACAGTCTATTCCACTGAATTACACAGATGACTTATGACCTGTGGAAAACATGAAAAACCAGATCATCTGATGAATTCTCTTTGTTGGTGTGCAAAGATTTCCTCTTATGTTGGTTTTAGGTCATGCAACACAGGAAAAGGAAATGAAAGCAATTAATAAAATAAGAATCCTAACAAAGTAAGTTTTTAATTAGTAGCTTGCTGTTAATGGCCTGCAGTGTTCAAGCAGTGATGTTTTGCACAATCACTTAGGGTGATAGGCAAAAGTAGCATAAATTAGCGCATGTAAAAACTTTTACTGAGTAGCAACTAAATTCATTTAAAAAGCAATATGTTATTTATCATGCTGGTTTCCCTGCAAAACTTTGCATATTGGGATTTCTATGGATGCTTCTACAGTAAATGTTTTTGAGTCACATACAGACACAAGGATGGTTTAACAAAATGATTCTTAAAACATATCTTTTGTGTGGTTGTAACATGTAAAAGCATTCAGCTGCAAAGAAACCGTGAAGATAAAGAGAAAAGATCTCTTACATGTCCCTGGTCATCCAGCTCATTGTTGGTGAGCTTGAGCTTGTCAAAGCTCACCACCTGCCTCATCCAGGTGTCTCCTGAGGCCAAGGAGTCTGGGTGGATGTAGACCCGCGGAGGCACTGGGGAGTCTGCATTTCCTGCCACCATCCATTTAGAGCTGTGGTACACATACCTGGAACACAAGATGAGGAAACTAGATAAAGCACCAACTCAGCCGGTGTAATAAGATTCCAGTGAATTAAAAAGAAACGTAACAATTTGTGTGGGTTTTAGCACAAAAGTACATCTTGAGGATCTATGAACCTTGCAACCTATGTAATTGTCCTTTAAATGTAGGCACAAGCTATGTTTTTCTTCTGAGCTTAATGTGGTCGCAGTACAAACCTCACTCTTTTTATTATGCCGTATGCATTCTGTTGTGTACAATTTGAAATTTTAACCGCTGCCAACTATATTAATGAAGGATAGATGTACCATAAATGAATGAAGAATGAAAAGCACAACACTGTCCTAAATCAACAATTTCATTATACTCTTTTGTATGTATCACTATGACAACTTTCAGATGCATTGTTAATCATGTTTTTGTTCCACAGAAGGTTCATGAAGTCTCCAGAACAAACATTCCCTCATCACTTCGCTGAATGTCTGACGTTACCTAAGGGTTGGGCTGGTTACTATGAAGCCTGTTTGGATTTCAAAATGGCTGGAGCACCTCTGCTGTTGTAACTGCAAACACCCAACCACATCACCATAACACTGGCTTTTAAAACCCATTTCTTCACTGTGTTTGACATTTTTACCAGAAGTGAGATAAAATATTCCGTAAGCAGTTGCACACTCAGCTGCATTAAGCACAATCATAATATTTAATGATGTGTGTGAGTTTGAGTAACATGAGGTGTCCCACCAATTAAACAGCAAGGGAAGAAATAAAGAATGGAAGAAAGTGAAAAAGAAACTTTTAATCTAACTCAACACACCAGCTGATGCTGTATGTTCACAAAAACTAATTAAAAAAAGATGAAAGAAGGAAACAAAAAAAAAGAAAGGACTGAAGGAAATAGGAAGGAACAAAGAAGGAAAGAAAATGCAGGGATAAAATGAAGTAAAGAATATGAGCCAGTGTCATAAAGAGAACATGAAGATAAAGTGGATGGACAGAAAGATAAAAGAGGGATAGAATGGGAGAGGAAGAGCAGCGAGAGTGTGTAGCACAGCTGTTTGCCTTTAGTTCTGGCCCTGCCCTCAGTTGAAAGTGTTTTATCTGCAGCATCTCTACCAAAGTCATCACTTACTCCTGAAACATGGACAAAACGCTTATTTGGTCCTTTTATTATTGCTGTGAAGGGCTGCACCGCAATGTAAAATCTAAACATAAATACATTCAAATACAAGCAAAACCACATACTCAGGCTCTTTATGCCAAAAAAAAGCAAAAATCAAATCAAATTTTATTTGTATAGCGCAAAATCACAACTAAAGTCATCTCAGGACACTTTACAAAGTAAGGTCTAGACCTTACTGTTCTCACTATTATTACATAGGGAAAACCTAACAAATCCCCCTTGAGCAAGCACTTGGCGACAGTGGGGAGGAAAAACTCCCTTTAACGGAAGAAACCTCCGACAGACCCCGGCTCTTGGTGGGCAGCCATCTGCCTCGACCGGTTGGGGTGAGTGGATAGAGGAGAGACAAAAGAAGAAAAGCAACAAGACACAACAATCAAACACTGATCAGGTCAATGTGGCTGGTGACTGCTCATCAGAGACGTAGAGCTCCAGGCCCAGGGCAACCTGCAGAAAGGTACAGTGTGAGAGAGAGGACACACTACGGGAGAGAGGAGAAACAAAGATAGTAATGTATAATGGTGGCATATAGAAGCGTAGGGAGAGAGGAGAGGAGAGGAGAGGAGAGGAGAGCAGGAGGGGAGGGGAAAGAAACTCAGAGCAGCATGGGGCCCCCCAGCAGCCTAGGCCTATAGCAGCATAACTAAGGGAAGGCTCAGGGTCACCTGATCCAGCCCTAACTATAAGCTTTATCAAAAAGGAACGTCTTAAGTCTAATCTTAAAGGTAGAGAGGGTGTCCACCTCC